CGCCGGGGATGCGGCCGCGGGGCTCGGCCGAGGATGGAGACCGATGGCTCGCCCGTCCCTGCGGCACCGTGCAGCGCCCGTGGAGACTGACCGGAGACCGACCTGGAGACTGACTCGGCCCCGTTTGGACTCGGTGGAACTGCGGTATCTTCTTTTTCCCCCCGGTTTTTCCTCAAAAGGGAATTTTGTGGCTTCGTTTTCTTCCTCACCAGGGCTAGCTTCTCCCTTTGAACCCGCATTGAATTCCTGCGCTGTTTATGCCAGTCTGTTACCTATACAAGGATATCGGTGTCCAAAATTCCTCGCTATTTACAGGATCAGCTGGGAACAATACGAATTTAGAGGCTGTAATCCGTTGTTGAAGTAAAAACAGTTTTGTTTAACGATGAGCATAAACTTATTTAAAATATGTGGAAGGTAAATTGACTTGTTTACTATATTAAAATATTTTCCCAATATGAAAGTCTCTGTAACAAAGTATGTTCTCTTCGGTGGTGGGAGGAGGACTGCTGAACTGGAAGGGGTCTGAGTAGCAAAAATTTGGCCACTGCAATGGGCAACTGTGGTATATGATGTTGATTCATTTGTCATTGGTCTCTGTAGGTGAGGCTGGAGAAACCTCTATACGTGGCTAATTGTGGAAACGAAGCAGTGGTGCTGGAAAGGTTTGATCTGTGCTGGCAGAGCAGGTGGAGCTGTGGCGGTGGGTGCTGGTGGGCTCTGAGCTGCTGCGCAGTTGAACCCGCGTGCTGCTGCCTGCAAGGGATGGCAGCGCTTACAGATCATCCCCGCACCTCTGGGGCATGCGGAACCAGGGTAGGTCTGGGCCAGGCAGCTCTTGCTGTGTCCTAGGAAGGCTCTACTCCCAGCTCCTTGGTTTCCTGCCCTGTGGTCCTCAGAAATCTTCTGTTCCTGGATGAACAGTGTGAAAAAATGGCCTTTAATGACTCTGGGATGTGGGATATAAACTAGAAACTCTAAGAGCCATGTTGTTCCAAGCTGCTGCTTTCTAGATGGATGAATTCGGCTGAATCTGTGAGGCTGCCAGGCTGTGCTGCATCCCTATGAAAGAATCACAGCAGTTCAGATTCCTTCTGCTGAGGGATGCAAATGTGCTGTAACGTGGCGTACGTATTTCAGTTGTGCAGATCACAAAGGAACCATAAAATACAGCACTTGGCTGCTTGAAAAGAGCTGTTTCATATCAAAATCAGGGTTTGAGACTGTGTTGGTTTGTTAAGGCTGCACCCTCAGCTGGGCATTGCCTTTACAGCATCTGTGAAAGGTAGAACCAGGACCAGAGGGCTTGTAGGGAGAAATGAGGTAAAAGGAGAGTGGTTTGTGACCTTTTCACCCTCCTTTCCAGTGTTCTGGGGAGCGTGCAGGGAAGGCTTTGTCTTGTTGGAACGAAAACCTGGTGGGAAGGATAAAACGATCCCGCTTAGTCACTTTAGCCAAAATCATGGGATTGCTGCCACCCTCCTGCGGGGCAGGTGGAAGTGCTGGAAGCACTGTGTCAGCAGATGGGTGCCCTGCAGCTGTCACCTCCCGAGCTGCTTCTCTGCTCTTGCTGTTTATCTGTGGAAGGAAGGCTGAGTGTCCCACAGCAGCACTGGCTCCGGGCCCCATGGGTGTCTGTTCTGTGAGTGGGGAATTGTGTTCCTTTGATGGTTCTGCCCGCAGTGTGTTGATCCCTTTCTGTGGGACTGCTCATGCCCACGGCAGTTCCAGGTCCTGGTGACAGCAATGCCATTTGCTGGCCTTGGGATACACCTCTGGTTGTGGGGGAAAGTTCCTGCAGCTACCCAAGGGAGGAATGAGCGACAGAGAAACCAGGCTCATTGTGGTGCCAGTTGAGTTTAGTCTGCTCCTTAGCTCGGGTGCTAAATGCAGAACCAGTTGGGAAGTGTCTCTGAGAAGGAGCTTGTGTTTAACTTGTAAAACCTTTGGAGATAAATAAAGCTGCGTGCAATGACATGGATGCTGGGATTTCTCTGCTGCTGGCCTGCAGCTTGGAGCTGGTGACTCTAGCGTCTCTGAACGCTGCATCCAGTCTGTGCTGAGTGCCCAGGGCCTCCTGGCATCCTTCACTTTAACTACAATTGCTCTCAGAAGACTAATAGAGCCTGGTTGCATGGTGCAGAGGGGAGAGGAAGTGAATGGAATTAAATGGGCTGCGTGGCCCTCTTCCAACCTGTAGTGTAACTGCTGAGAGACGCCTTGTACTTGGGAGCAGGAACAACCTAAAGCTCTTTACCTGGTTTGTGGTTTTGGTAGCAAAGGATCTCTGGGACAGAGACAGTGCTCAAATCCGCTGGATCAAAGGGAACAGGCCTTTCACTGATGGCTGCCTCCCCTTCTGGTGCTAAAAATAGTTGATGAGCCAGTACGAGGATGGTTGTGGCTGTCTGCATTCCTGTAGGAAAGTGCAGGCTTGGTGAGTTCCCAGACTGTGTTTTTGCATCTTCTCCTCTGCTGACAAACAGATTTCAGTGAAATGCTGCTATTTCTGTACCTTTTACAACTGGCTTTGGAGCATCCTGGGGCTTCACTCTGGTTGTACTGAGTGTGCGAGGGAGGGGAATCTGCCTGAGGAAGACGCAGAAGGGTTGTGGGCTGCTGGCTTAATGGCCAGGGACCTTTGGTGATTTCTGCAGCCTGGTTTTCCAAATCTTCTGGAACCATATTCTCCAGCTACAATCTTTTCCCCATCCCTTTCCTAGCCAGGAATCATAGCCCTCCGGAGGCAGATGTGCTCCCGTTGGGAGCTGTTGTCAGCCTGTAATGAGCCCGTTGCTGTGCTTCTTACTCTCATCATGACAGACTGTCGAAGAAATCGGTGACTAAGCGTACTTTGCAAATACTGGAGTAAGAAAAATAGCTCATCTGGACTGGTTTCTAGGTGTAAGCTAACTTAAAATTCAGGGCACTAGGGATTTCTTTGTAAGTAGATTGGCTGCAACAGATACTTGGACTGGGAATTTTTGCATTATGTTGCCATCTTTGTACTGAGAGAGTCATCTGCATCTCAACAGAATTGCTTTAGAGCCCTAAAATGGTGCAGTCACCAGTCTGGGGTAAAGCTGAGGTTTAAAAGGCAGATGGTTGTGTCATCTGTTGTGTTACTTCAGCTCCAGTTCACCCTTTCCCTTCATTGCTCCTCAAAAAAATAATAAAATTGTGGTTCACTTAGTCTGATAGATTGTATCAGGCAAGACAAGGCACAGGGTTGTGAGTTGCTTCCTGGGTAGAAATTACTGTAACCTTGTGATTCAAGATGTTGACTCCTTGGAATTGCTGGGGAGGGTTATTCCCTTCACACAACTGTGCTCCTGCATGTCACCTGCCAACAGAGCTGTGCCATATTCCCAGTGTGTGCACATCAGTGAGGAAGGGAGGCGTCTGGAAGTCATTTGGACGAAGGAGGTACTCAAATGTGAGCGAATTACCTTAAAGCCTTTTGCTTTTGTGATAGACATCTAATACCTGCCCTCGGCCTGTGCACACTGGTCTTGTCCCAATGAGCCCAGTTTGTCCAAGGAGAGCATTTAGTGCAACTCACGTGCAGAGGGACCAGAAGGGAAATAACAGGAAAAAGAGTTACTGGAGCATATAATCTGCTCCAGCAGCTGGCTCACGTTTCCATCTCTAAAAGCTCTCTTTTCCCCGTGCGCATTCTCTTGGTGGCTCATCTGATGCAATGCACGTCATCTTAATCCCAGATTCCTGTGCAGTTCTTCTGACAGGGAATCTTGACTTAATCCCTGAGCGTAGCTGAAAAGCAGTTGTGTGGTGTAGTGATGATAACAAAATCAGTGGCTGCTTCTGGGCATCAGGGATTTCCCTCAGAGAAGTCAAAGCTGATCTCGGTGGGCTGCTCAAGGGGGTGTTACCAATGGCTGGCTCTGAGTCCTGGAGCACACAGCGAGGGGAATGGCGTAACAGTCATAGCTGAGCTGGAGCATGAAGCTAAGGAGATGAAGCTTGGCTTGTGGCTGTTCCACAGGTGTTCAGAGGCAGTTTAGGGAAAGCTGGCCAGGTGCTGTGTCACTGCACTGGGATGGCGTGAGCAGGAATCAGCCACGGACTTCCCAGTGTTACCTGCCAGTGCTGCAGAGCCTGGGAGCTGGTTGAGCTGTTTCTGTGCAACCTTTCCAGGGAAGGCAGCAGGCAATGTCCTAAACTTCCCAGCAGTGCTGTATCCTGCTGCTGTTCTGGGCCTCTCATTGACTTGAAAAGCACTAATTACTGTATTATGCATTTAAAATACAAATTCAATGGCTAAGTGCCAGTGCTCTCTGCCACCTGCAACCAGTTTATCTGGAGGAAGATTGTTGTGGAAAACCAGTGAAATTTTCTGTTATTTTTATATCTAAAGACTCTGTATTGGCCTTTACTGGTTAGTGGTCTGTGTGTGTGCTCCTGCTACCATGTATTGGACTTGTAGCAGGAATGGAGAGCTGAACTGCTGTCAGGATTTTGTGTTATTGTCTCCTTCAGTAGTTGCTTCAGAAACAAGTACCTCCAACTTTATCCAAATGCAGCTTTGTCCTTGGCTTGATTCTTTTTTTTAAATTACATCCTTTATGCAAGAGCTGACTCACTAGTCTGGGATCACTTCTGGAAGTTTTAGCTACAGGGTTGCTGTATTGCAACTGATTGTAAATTTTTAAGGAAAAGAACAAGGTCTAGTGGCCAGCTGATCCTTTAGTTTGAAGGAAAAAGCATTCTGCCTGGGAGTGCTGCTGCTTCCCTTGTGTCTGGAAAAGCTGCAGCAACTTCCACCAAATCCCTGAGCTACCAGCCACTGTTGGGAAGGAATGGGTCCTGTGCAGGCAGGTGTGGCTCTGAAGTCTGTGAGCTGCCCTTATATTTGCTTTCAAGAAAAGTACAGTGGTGATGAGATGGTGGCTCTGGTGCCTCAATGAAGAATTGATCCTCATCTTCCTGGCATCACTGCAGGGAGCTTTTGTGGTGAGAAAGCCGAGTCCAGGAGTTCAGTGTTTCCTGAAGGAATCAGTGCTCTGAACTGGAGCTGTTGCTCTAAAAAGCAGACATTACTGATTCAGTCTGGAAATCTCTACACGTGTAAATGAGAAACAGTAAGAAACAGGAGGTTTTTCCTCATTCCAACTTTTATTTCATATAAATAATCCCTCTACATCAGATTTGTCAACTTTTCAGTTTTTTCTCTCACCATAAAGAAGAAACAGCTAAGCCACAGTTGTCTGAAAAATCACAACCCAGGCACCAAACAAAGTGCATTGAGCAAAGTGTTAATGAGCAGGAAAAAATACACTTAGAACAGGCACAACCTGTCCAGTCCCATCCTCAGAGCCTGGATCAGACTCAGTCTTTCCTGGGCATCATTATCTGCAAAGTCACTTGGAAGAAAGGAAAAAAAGGAGGGAATGGAGGACCAGTGATGGTTTTCCTTTCAGAATGGAGTCTAGGGCAATAAGGTTTTTTATCTCTTCAACACAGTACTGAACCAGAGCAGTGTGAAAATCCTGCCTGGCCATGTGTCCAACTGCTCCTGGAGTGCAACAGCTCTTGAGCTGAAACTGTTTGTTCCATGGACCATGAGGCAAACTGGCTCCTGGGAAATGCTGGTAATGACTCAGTCTGACTAGACCAAGAGTCAGGTCAGAGACCTGATGTACAAAATAATAATAAATTTTAAAACTAAACAATTGCAAACAGGTTTTTGAGCCAGTCAGATAAGGAAAATCAGCCTTTAACTTAAGCAATGGAGAAGCTCCAGGACCTGGAGCAGTTTTACAATCTTCTGTTTATCTGTTGGGTAAATCCAAATAAACTCAGTCTGGGCTTTGGTGGGGTGGAGATGTTTCTACTGATAAAATACAAAAGCTGCACGCTCTGTTTCTTGATAATACCTGGTGTGATGCCAATAAAGTCTCCTGAATTTGGCATAGGGAGGAAATTCCCAGGCTTGTGCTTCATGATAGGTGTTACGGGTCTAAGTCACGTGGAAAAACAAATGTTTGTCTGTGCAAATATTAGTTTATTAAAGCAGCATAGAGTATTTCAGTCCACACGTGCCAACCTGATCTCCAGGGAAGTCTGCCAGCCTGGTCAGCCAACATCCTGCAGGACATTCCTGGCAGTCTCCACACATACCTGTCCCAGAGACGCATACTCTGGCATCAAATTTAGAGCAGCACCTTGAAGTCAGGGTGATGCCCACTCTGCCCTGTCATTCAGAAGTCAGAAATTATGTTGTGTTATTCCTTGTGCCTTCTCCTTAACTGGTAGCTGTATTCCAGCTGGGTCCTAGCTTGCTGTAACTGGAAAGCCAAGCAGCTGGAATTCCTGCATGTTTGTGCTTGTAAAGCTCCTCCAGATCCTCCATTTGAAAGGTATCTTTAAGGCCAGGTCAGAAGGTCTGCAGGGCAGCTTAGAGAGGATTCCTACTCCCTTATAGACTATGGAAGGCACTACCAGGAAGGTGAAAATGTTTGATATGAAGTCTTGGACCTCCAGCTCCAGTTTGGCCCGGGTCCTGCTGCCAACTGCTTTGGGCAGTGTGGTGGAGGAGGAAGATTATTGTGCTGTCCCCCTCCTTGCCGTGCTGCAGGGATGCCCAGTTACGCTTGGGAAGGGGCAGTGGAGTTTGCTGAGTTATGCACACATCTGGTCACCCAAGCAGCCACCTTCCTTGGCACAAAGCACTGTCCTGACGTGCTCCTCAGCCTCTAAAAGGGGAGGAGAGCTGGAGGTTCTTCAAGGAGGAGGTGCTGGGGTTGATCTGTGCTTGTCAGAAGTGCTCTGTCCATCCATCCATCCTGCTCATGCCCCGCAGCCCCTGTCACTACCATGTACCTCTGCCAACACTTCAACCACGTGCAAACCTGTAGTACAAGAGCTCTGAACACAACTTCTTCACCCACCTACTGAACTACACCCTAACTCCTCACCCCTCTGCTTTGCCAGTCACCTCTTCCTGCTGTTCCACTTGCTGGCACAGCCCCTGACACGTGCCTCCAGCCTTTGGGAAAAAAATGGGGGGTGTGCCCAGAAACCCAAGCCATAAGTTTAAAAAGAATTAGTTAAATAAAATAAAGTGCATCCAGTAGACATTTCCTTGGCTTGCCACGCAGCTGCAATATATGCCAAACAAACAGGTAAGTGATGGCGTTTTCTTTGTAGGGTGGGAGTGTGTGCACCCTTCCCTGTCCTTTGACACACGGATAGGGAAGGGGGATGCCAGAACTGTGGGTGGGGGTGGTGATGGGGACCCCACGTGTTGTGAATGGTGCTGAAGGGCACTAGGCAGGTGCTGAAAGCTGATTTCATAGAAGGTAAAAGAGTGAGGACAAGCTTGCGCTCCTCTTCTCCTCCACCGCCTCCAGCACGTTATCCTGCGAAACGAGAGCAGAGACAGCCGCGGGATTATCAGTCTCCAGAGAACTGCTGAGCTGTAAATTAAAATGTCTGCTGAGTTCCACCCTGCCCTTCCTGCACGGCTGGGGCTGCTTGGGAGGCACCACTGGGGCATAACCCAGATACCTGCTGCCAAATCTGACAGGAGTAGTGGGGGCTTTGCAGCCCAGGGGATGAGCTGACTCTGCCAGTCTGGATTAAACACTCTCAGTCCTCCTCTGGGATGGATCCATCAAGTTTACTCTTCCCTTATATCTCAGGAACAACAATCCTGACATGTTCTTGTGTGTTCTAGTTCAGCACCTGGAGCATCAAGAGAAGAAGCTGATTTCAGGTAGGGCTTTGTGATCCTTACTGGTGAACCTGGCCTGGGTGTGCAGCATTTGTGAACCCCAAGGACAGAGGCTGAATCAGCTTTTCCCAATGAAAAACTATCCTGTGAGTGGAGCCTGCTGTCCTATAGCTGCTTTCCAGACCCAGACATGCTGATTTTAATTGGGAAATGCAGACTTTTTATTCTTTTCTAGCTGCCAGATGCTTGGGTGCTGCTCAGAATAGCTGAGCTGGCATTTTCCTGCATCCATGTCTAAATTTGTAGATGTGCCTTTTGCTGATGCAGATTTCAGCACCCAAAGCTCCCAAGAAAGGTCAGGGAGGGGGATTAAAACAAAACCCCCAAAAAAGATTAAATCCTACAAAAGCAGGAGAGACCACAGGAAGCTTGGCTTGCATAAAAAAGGAACTTCTCAAGGAATCATCTAAAGACACAGCCACAGATATTTAATAAGGAACTGCACTGAAATCAGACCTGAGGTGCTGACACAACTGATGCTGTTGTACAGCTGAGTTTTTTGATTGTTGCTGGAGATTTAACTCCTGTCTGCATGCAGCAGTGAGGGCTGGCTGTGTCCTGCTGCTGAGAGCTGCTCAGTGCTGTGGCAACACACTGGGATTTAATGGGACTGGGAAGGGCCAAAGCAGAGTGTCAGTCACACTTGGTGGTCCAGATATTGTAAAGTAATCTGGTTTATGAATCTGAGCTGACCCCAGCATGAGTTCTCCCTGTTGTGGATCTATTTGATCACTTATGCTTTTAGAAAGCTCTGACTGTGTTTCAGTGCTAGGAGACAATTCCCTTTCCTGCTTTGCTGTATTATCCTTTTCAATACACACACCTTCTTCCTATGTGTGAGTGAGTCTTTACAGCCAAGACACTGGTGGGCTTTAAAGTCATTACTTCCCTTGGTAATTAGCCAGAGTGATTAGCCTTTCACACATTTCCCACTGTATCCTCTTTCCCATATGAACTCCAGGGCCAGTGGGAGATGGAGCAGCTGTGGGCTGGCTGTGGGCTGGGGCTCAGGGCAGCAATGCCCCCATGTGCTTCCTGGGCCGTGCCAGCAGAATGGGAATTCTGTGGTGGCAGAATTCCCTCTGTGTGTCAGTGTCACAGGAGAGGACTGTTGCAGATCACTGCTATCTGTCTCACACCTCCCAGCCTAGCTGGCTGGGGGATGTCACTGGGATCCAAGCCAACAGCAGGTCCTTGTGGGACCTACTGGTCAGGCCCCACGTGATGGAGGGATGTACAGAACTCCCTGAAGCTGCAGCTGAACATAGCTGATGAAGGTCTGGGATAGCAGAAACGACTGGGATATGAGAGCAGCTCCATTCCTGGTGTTTGGAATGGCAGCAGCTCACCCATCAGAGCCCTGAGTTATGTTTAGATGTGTTAAGCTCCAGTAAGTGCCCCTCAGGATTCAGCCATGGTGAGCTTCCAAGTGCTCTGGCAGGTAGTCACCTTTTCCTAATTTTCCCATATTTACTCCTGGGCTTCTCCAAGACATTGGTTCCTGCCCCAGCACTGTGTTCTGGCTTGGATGTTTCTTCCCCTTTCCTGGTGTTCATTACCCATGTGTATCTACAGAGATCACAATTCCACTGCTTTCTGCCTTCATCTTCCTAGACAAAACAACATTCCCTCAACAGCCTTGGAGCCTTCCCTGTGCACCTTACACCATTCTCACAGAATCCCTTTGTTTTCCAATGTTAATACTGTCCTCCCATGTTGTGCCATCACTTCAGAGATATGGGGACAACTATGTCAAATCCCTCTCCCTGACTGCATAAAGACTGAGCTCTCCACTTAGGTGGTACTCAGAGGTGCTCTGGGAATTTCAGATGCCCGTGGCTCCAGAGGGTGGTGTGGGCTGCAGGAAGGTCCAGAGAAGCCAATGCTATTCAAGGCAAGCCCTTGACCCTGCCAATCCTAGGCCAACTCCCCAGACGTACCAGCAGATGGTATCTTCCTGTCTCCTGAACCTCAGGGAAGCTGGTTGTTCTTCCGCAGCTCCGCAACTGGTTTGGGAAGTGCTGGTTTCTGCTTGTGCTGCTTCCTGCACCAACCTTGGGCGCTGGTTTGCATCAGAGCCGACCTCTGCTGACCTCCTCTGTCCTGCAGCACTCAGGCCCTGCCTGCCCCACTCCTGTTTACGTCAGCCAGTGCTGCAAGGTCAGATCCCTGGAGCTGCTCTGGAAATCTACCCCCAGCTGCATTTTCTCTAAAGATGTTAAGATTAATTTTCTCAAGAGAATTCAGGGAAAAGCTTTTGTGGTTTTTGTGTATCGTTTACTTCTCTGGGACTTGTTGGACATTCTCCAGGGATTCCAGTCCTGCACTTGGAGTAAATATTTATTCCTTGTTGTTTGAAGCGAAGGATGAAAGCCCCACCACACTCTCTGCACAGCATCTCCCACTGATTTGAAGGTGCTGGAGATTTTTAGTGCCATAAATAGAGGTTGGGAGGGGGAGTTGGGAAACCCACGTGGTGACTGCACAGGGCTGCAGTTGTGCAGGAAGGGATGTGAGATCAGCATTTAATGTGAGTGGGACACGGGCCCCACAGAGCCCCCGAACAGGGCAGGGTGCCAGCACATCATTATCACTGAGTACAGATGTTTCCAGCTGTTACATATACCTGCTGAGCTCTGAAGTGGACTCAGGGCCCTATTACCAAACCATGAGAATCTCCATCACTGAGATGAAAATGGACCACTCTAATTTATTGTTTCCTCTTAATTGGTGTCTAATTGAAGTTATCCTGAGTGAGCAAAATAGTCATTAATTCCTTCATCCTCTGATTTGGTGGGAATTTTGGTAAATTGGAGAGGCGTGGCTGGACAGTAATTTCCCACTATGTCCATCCAGGTGTTTCATAACATTCTCCTAAATGCTGTTGGAATTAATTTCCCTCACTTGAAGGAATTTTAGCTCAAACATAGAACCAGCTCCTGCTGGTTTTTGATGTTTTGTCTTTTAGAAATCACTATGACGCTTGCACTTCTCCCTGCCTTTTGTATGGATTGGATTGTAGGGAAAGTCTTTGTTAGCAGCTTAGCCACTTCATCCCTAAGCTCATTTGTACCTCTGGGAGGAATACTGAGCAGCACCGGGGGACACGCTTCTGTGTAGGGTCTGCAGAAAAGCTTCTGGAATCCAGGAAAGGCACTTGGAGGGGGGATCTGCTTGTCTGGCTCTGAGAAACTCACTGCCTCAAGTGCCTACTTATGGAACAGAGCTGCTGTCTCTGTGAAGGAGAGAGGCAGGAGTATCCTGAGAGCCACTCCTGTGTTAGGCAAGCTGGGTTGTGTTCTGGAAACGCCCATCTCTGTTCAGTGTGATGTCCTGTTCTGTGGGACACTGCCTGGAAAAAACACACCTTGCAAAGAGCCCCTACCCTCTCCCTTCCCTTTCCTCCTAATTTCTACCTTACCTTTGTGCTTGTCATCCTTTGCTCCATCTCCTGGTTTTGCATTTGCCTTGATGGAAGAAAATTGTTTGTTTGTGTGCAACCTGGAGCATTGCTCCATAACTGGCTCTGTCCTCCCTCCCTTCTGTTTGGTTCATGGGCCTTTGCACCAGGAATCATCTCACCCTGTGTATTTATACCCTGCCCTGCGCGTTAGGGTTACCATCTGTAATTCAAAGTGCAGCACTCACAGAACTTCTGCTGGGAAGAAAATCCCACGTACAATCAACCTTCTCCCAAGCTCTGCCCACGAGGTGGGCCCCTGTGGCTTTGCACAGGTTTTGGGGAAGGACCACACTGACTTCAAGTTGTGATCACCCCAGAGAGAGAAATAAACTCATCCCAGTGAGGTTATTCCTCCCATCCTTTCTAAGGTCACAGTTTCCCATGAATAGATCAGTATGTGCCCTAACTAATGTGTCCCATCAACCAACTTTACCAGCCCAGTTTTCTGTCCAAAATTTTCTGTCTGGCTTTCCATTCCTCCCCAGGACTTTGGGATCCACAGATTTAGTTACCTTAGAGATCCATAGCACTGCTAATGAACATTTCATAACAGTTACCTGCTATGATGCTATTGTACCACAGAAAATGGAGTTGTGGCCCTGTATTATGGCTGAGAGCACTAATGAGATGACTCACCTTATGTTTCAGGCAAGGCGGTACAATCTGCTAGTTGTGAGTGTCCCCACTGTCCTTGTCCTTGCAATCCTCAGGCTGGTCCCCTTCCCCAGACTGGGATTTTGCCGTGTCCTGCTCAGGCACAACAGTCCCATCAGAGCTGGCTTTCCCTTGGGGTGAAGGTTCATGGTGTTCAGTGCCTCCAGCATCTTCACTTCCTTTCAGTGCAAGCGCCTGTCCCTCAAGAGCAGTGGTTTGGGTCACTTCTTCCCCTCCTCTGCTCACCAGCTGTCCTTGGTCTGCATCCAGTCTGTCTCCTGCTGCTGTGTCGAGCTCTCCTCCGTGGTTGTTGGAAGAGTTCTCAGAGGACTCCTGTTCTGAAGCTGGCTGTTTCTCCAATCCAGCTCCATCTACATTCACTCCCACGGGCAGTGACGAGGTCTCCTTGCTGCCAGGCCTGCTGCCTTGCACAGTGCTCTGAAGGCTGCTCTGTGAAGTAGTGCTGTCAGTGCTCTCCTTCTCCTGGGAGATGTCAGTAGTGCCAGGCTTCCCGCTGGCATCTTCCCCAACACTTTCATTGCTTGGCTTGGGCCCTGGCTCCGAGTCCCCGGCACTGGCCACAGATACCTCTGTGCTGCAGTCCCTCATTCCCCTCTGCTCCTCCTTCTGGCCATTCTGGGCAGGCTGGACCTTCCCACTTCGCAGCTGCTGTGAGGAGGAGGCCCCGTGATCCTGGAGGCTTGGCTGTTTCCCCTTTTCCTCCAGCTCAGCTGTGCAGTTCTCTTCCACCTCCTCGTCACCTCTGCTCTTCCGCCTCTCCACACCAAGGCTTTTCTGAAAAACAAAGGATGTAATAAATTCATCTTATTAAAATTGCCAGTATATTGTATTTCTGGTCTGTGATGGTTCTGAAAACCTGAGGAAAAAGGATGTAAAAGGATGTAGGTGGAGAAGTGTTCAGAGACCAGAATAGGAGAGGTGGTTGTGCTGACAGAGGGTCAGTGTAAGCAGTGAAGCTGCTGTCACACCTGGCCATGTGAGGAGTACTTGTTTGTGACGAGTACAGCTACCTAAAAACAGAGGTCTCCCAGCTCTGGAACAGATTAGATTCCAATTTTCCTTTTAGTGCATGTGTTGAGAAAACTCAGCTGCCAGCCTGCAACTCAGGAACTCACCTGGCCATCAAGGTCATCCTTCAGAAGAGACATGTCTTCGCCTTCTTTTGCATCCCATCTGTCAAGAAAAATTAATCAGATTTTAGGCCCTGAAGTTCTTACAAAGCCAGTGTCTCTTGCCTGACACCCAGATAGGGATTTCCTCCAGGGCCATGTATTCCTTATCTGAGCCCCCTGTCCAGGCCTATCCAGAGACACTCATTTAAAACCACTAAATCTTAATGAACTGGTTGTTGTAATTCTAACTGAAATGAACACATAAGCTCCAATTGCCAGAACAGACAGTTGAGTCAGACGAAGACAGAGTTTATTTGGGCTTATGCCTACCAAAGTCTGGTCCTGCTTGCCTGACAGTGCCCAAGTGTCCCAGATCTCCACGACAGCAAACACAGAGGCAGATACTGAAGGCTAAAATTGCTTGGAAGTAGCTTGGAAGTCAGAGAGACTATTTACAAGGGCCTGCAGTGACCAGGGCCAATGACTTCCTACTAACAGAGGGCAGTGTTAGGTGGGATATGCTTCCATGTGAGAGTGGTGAGGCCCTGGCACAGGTTGCCTCTTCATAATTAGGCAGGGAGTGAGACATGGACGTGTACACCATGGCAGTGCTTCCAACTCCTCACCTTCTGGCTCTGCCTGTCAGTCTGTCCTTCCCCTTGGCTCGGCTGCTCACAGCAGGCACTGCTTTCGGACCAGGGTCGCTCACATTCACTCCATGATGTCCTCCACCTAGAAAACAAACAGGTTGGAAAAGCCATGCAAAAAGCAGGCAGAAGCAGCTGATGCACCACTGAACAGGCCAACACCCTTGTATCCTTGGAAAAAGACCTCCAAGGTGGGAAGCCTTTGAAGCTGTGTGCATACTGCACGTATATTTTCTAAAGTAATAAAGACATACCAAGAATTCAGGGTATTTCTTGTGTGGCTTTTTTTTATTCCAAATTCCAATTCTAACTTTAAATCTGATTCCTTGGATACAGTCTTACTTGTGCTGTTCTTTGGGAGACTTCTCCCCCGCACACAGCTATGAGAGCAGCCATGTGGTGTGTTCCAAAAGGCTCTCCAAATCTGCAAGTGTCTGGAGAGAACACTCTCTCTGAGGGGTATCAGAGGTGCTGGCATTTAGTGAGGTGACATAACATAATCCTCTGGTTTACTCACCTCTCCCTTCCGCAGGAAAGGACCTGTGCTGGAATTTCTTTGCATTCCTTCCCCCTGCAAGGACACAAGAAAGAATGCACCAAAGTGAGTAAGGGTCTGTAATGGACAGGCAGCAAAAAGCCTGATGTTCAAATAGGGTGTCACGAGGGAAAGCTTTGTTTAGCCAGTCCATCTCCTGAGAAACAGGAGTCAGGATGGACTTACACTAGTAAAGAAGCCAGCATGTGCCATAGGGATCAGAGATGATGTGCTCTGGAACAGGATTGCCTCTTATACGAGTTTGTGTGAAAGGAGGCAGGGCTGAGCCTCCACACTATGTTGTACCAGGTTACAGAAGCCACTTCTCTCCCTGGGAAGGTCCAAAGCTCTAGCACCCAGCTGCTCAAATCCCATCCCCCGAGCCCTCTGCCCAGCAGGGAGGGCTGAGCCCCCAGCTCAGAGGCGTTTGCCCAGGAAAGCAGAGCTTCACAGCTGACAGCCACGGCAGCTGCTGCGGCACTGGGACGCACACGATCAGCGTTCACTAGCGTCAGGACAGAGTCTAGGTGTCCCTTGCCAACCTTTCTTATTGCTGGGATTATCCAAGGCTGGCTGCCCATCCTTAACAAAGTCCTCTTCAAACCTGCAGGTTAAAAACAGGCATTGTCAGACCTGACCATCCTCCTCCAGTGTGCAAAGCGTGGGCAGGAGCCCTTGGCACGACACAAGCTCCAGCCTTTGGCCCTTCTGCACCTGCCCACAGGCAAACCTGTGCAGTTTTCTCAGCAGCAGCTGAGGCTGCATGTGCTAACTGAGGCTGTGAGGTAGTTCTACCCCAAAGAACCTCTAAAACCTTTACATCAGTACCCATATGTATATATTAAATTCTATTAACATCCTGTAGATGTAGTGTAGCTGTACTACACTCAAATACAGCTTCCCAAGCTTCCAAACACAATCTGACGTAGTTTCAGGACTTGTCATCTCAAATCAGACCATTTGGTTGGCTTCTAGTCCTGCTTGTTTTATATTATGGCTTTTCTCTTAAAAATGGATTTTTTTGAAAAACAGTAGGGCTCAGGGCTGTCTTGCCATCAACATTCAGCACCTACTTAAGCCAATTCACCCCAATTATTGGGGTCTCAGCGACTGAACATTGATGTGTTTGGTTCCATTTCTCAGCCAAAGGATTGTCCCACCTGCCTGTCCTGTACAAACTTCACCTCTGCAACAGTCCCTAATTCCACACCCTACCAGAAGCTCATCCTGCTACAGGTGCCAAGTCATGCTCCAAAGCTCTCTAGCTGATGTGACCCAGCTGAACCAGCAGGGTCAGAGGGACAGTGATTAAGGCAGGAACATGTCCGGCCCCATTCCCAGTTTTCCCAGCTGTTCTCAGCATTGTCCCTGTATGACACAGGCGGCCTTTTGAAGTGACCTCCTTGCCCCAGAGTGCCTGAACAGGCTCTGTTTATGGGATGAGGAGGATTTAGGCATGTTGGGCTCTCCTGTGCTTGAAAAAGACAAACAAGGGGGGGGCAGTGAGAGAACCTGTGGACTAGTAATACAAGTTTGTCCATCCACGTTTCTGGAAGAGCACCTGTACCCTCCTGCCACTGGATTTATTCATGTGGAAGTGGAGAGGATCCTCCAGATGCAGACTGAGCCTTGGTTCATGCTCCCCTCCCTTCTATAGTCTATATCCTGGTTGGACCAAAGGCAGGCAATCTTTGTCAGCACATGGTATCCCCTCTCAAGAGAGCTCGTATCAGGAAGAAAACATGAGAATCACTCTGATACCAGATCCCATTTATGGGCATAGTCTGGGGAGGAAGAGGCAGCAGTATGGATCTGGTCAGGCACATGACAGCATGGGATTGATAAGTATCTGCACAAGATCCCACCACTGGCTTTAGGCCTGCTGCAGGCAAAGCACCCTGGGACAGGGAAGGACCTACATGTGCTCTGACTTCTCCACATCCCAAGCCCGTCGCCACTCGCCCTTGGCATTCTTGTGACGTGCCAGGCGCTCCAGGTCAATCTGGTCTCGCTCCCTCTTCCAGCGGATGTACTCAGAGCGCTCCCGGCCAGTCATGGGGAAACTCAGGTCTCCAGGGCTCTTCTGGACTGGCTTCCCACCATCCTGATGGAGGAAAAAGTGCTTCTGGTTAATAAAACTGTCTGAAACACCTGCATTCAGGGTGCTTTGTACTGTCACCACCACAAATGCTCAGGAATATTTGAAAACAACCTGGGACAAGGTCAGCTCCTTTCTCTGATGTGTGATGTGTGCACAGCAGGACTCTGCTTTACCCAAAGCCTAAATACACTGGGGGTGTTTGGCTCTACAGAAGGGGAAACTGAGCCAGGAACCTTTGCTAAGTTATGCTAAGTTATGGCATAGAGTCAGCTCCTGGATGCTTGCAACATCCCTCAACAGGGTTTCAATGATGAGTCCCCCAACCTGATGTCTTTGGGATACATAAATCAAAGTTATGCCTGTGAAATCCTTCACAGTGAAAAGGCAGGGAAGGAAGCCAGCCTTGTGTGACCACCAGGCATCCACAGGAGCCCACAGTCAAGGAGCTGGGGCCAACCCTGTGCCCGAGAGCAGCATTCCCAGAGCAAAAGGGCTCTTAAACCTTCACTGCTGTCAGGTAGTTTATTGCTCCTCATGACAGACTGGTTAAGGGCTGACACTGCTCAAAAATTTAAAGCTTAATGGAAAGACAGTTCAGAGCTGATGGAGCATGTGGGGGGGGAAGTAGCCCAGCTGTCAGGTTAATGGATGAGGTGGAAGCAGGAGCCGACAGGCTGTGGTGTGTTGTCAAGCAACAGTGTGTAGGGAATAGCTTAGTGCAGAGCTGAGTCCTGGGGTGCTAATTACCAGTGGGTAATTCATCACCTCATACACGTGTCCTTCCATGCCAGCCACCCTCACACCTTCCCCAAAGAGGAATTAACTCCTCAGCCTTGCACTGCGGGTAAGAGAAGCAGCGGGAAGAAGGGACTGAAAGCCCTGTTACCAAGGTGACCCACCTGCGTGGGCCGGAGCTGGGGTGGCACCAATTGCTCCTCCATTCCTCAGCTGGCAGGAGCTGGGGACCTGCCACCATGGCCCCAAGGAGGGAGAGATGAGGTCCACAGAAAGGCAAGGCACAGCAGAGTAAAGCCAGAGCAAGTACTGTCCCTCAGCTGGGGCACAGCCTGGGAGTGCTCCCACTGCTTCCAGCCCCACAGTAAGGCACTGTGGGTCCTGCCAGGATGGATCCTGCTGCATCCAGAAAGCCAAAAGCGAGGGAAGGACTGAGGCTGATACCTGTGCTCTCTTGTGGGGAGAGGCAGAAGTGGCTGAGGGCCCAGGGAGCAACAGGAGCTGGTCCCTCACCTCAATTACAGCGTAGCTGTGGTTAGCTGGACCACAGGCTATCATGCTCCCCCTTCCTGCTCTGAGGGGCTCAGCTGGAATTAGTGTCTAAGAGCCCATCTGTGTCCTCCTAATGAATCACACTGAGGTGGGGTTATTCTATTTGTGCTCCATTAATTAAAGCATCTGCAGGCTCGAGGGAGCCAGCATGTCTCCAGGCTTTGCATTAAACAGTCAGTGGGAAGGCCTGTGCTTTAATTTACCTCCATCCTACTCAGCTCCTGCTGAAGTGAGGAGCTGTAGCTAATACAGCCTGAGCTTTTCAATCCACAAAGAAATAGTTTTGGGAGAGGAACCAGCCAAAGCTTTGCCGGCACAGGGGTGAGCATAATATCCCCATGGCTGTGTGAAGGGCTTGAGCAGCCATGACAAGGTGTGGAGACAGGTTCCTGTCACCTTTCCAGTGCTGCTTGCTCCAGGTGTGTCAGCTGCTCAGCAAAGCTTTGGATGATGAGAGTGATGAACAGTGGGAGCCATGTCAGAGCACAGTGCTGCTTCACAGAATTACAGGATGGTTTGGGTCTGAAGACTCAAAGGTCATCTTCCTTTAGGACTACAGTGGGGAGGCACATTCCTCTTCTTCTTGGAAGAGGTTTCCTCTTCCAAGTCAAGAGTCCCCACAAAGGGACCTGGGCCCCACTCACCTTCCGGCTGTGCTCACTTTCTGGGCCTCTGTCACTGTCTGATCTCCTCTTCTCTGCTGTTCTCCGCTCTTCTGCCTGCAAGAGAATGGGAACAGGAATTTTTCCAAGGATTAAGTAAGGATTCCTGGAAGGAAAATCAGGTCTGAACCTAAGCCGACCAGGACATGTAAGAACTTCTCAGAAAAGATCAGCAAAAGAGAAAGGATTGTTTCTGGGGCCCCAAATCAAACTGAAGTAGAAAAAAAAAGACAGAAAACAAGGGTTGTATGAGAAAAACATTCCCACAGGTCCCTCCTTCTCCCAGGTTGGAAGCAGAGTTGTGTCCTGCATGGTCCTGTTTCTTTTCAAGGCAGACCAAGTTTCAGGTACCTTTACAGATTTGGGCCATTTTAGGATTCCACTGTACAAGATCTGGGAGCCTATCTGAGGTGCAGCTATAATCCAGCATGGTCAAACTAGGAGTGATTTTAGTCCCTGGCAAACATGGCATCCTTCTCACAGGGTCCATCCCTGCTCCCATGGGGTTTATCCATGCTGCCAGATTGGCAAGCTCTGCTCTGGTGTTGATATTCCCCTGCCTGGCAGGAGTTTCTTAGTGAGCTACAGACACCAAATATGGACCAAGCCAGGGGTTCTCTGTCCCCATATGCCATGAATAATAGAGACAGAGCCATGTCAGAAGCCAGAGTGGGATCTGCAGAGCATAAACATGTTTTAGGAAAGGCTTCCTGCCTGGTTTGACATCTACAGGGCTGGGGCTGTGGGGGGCTGAGCTTGTCCTGCTGCCATTTTGCAGTGCCAAGCAGAACTGAAACACAAAGAGGAATGTGGCAGCATGAACTGCCAGCTCAGCCCTTCCAGAAAGCGGCAGCGTGGTGAGGTCCAGCCCAGGCTGGAAACAGGGCTTTTATTCTGTGCATTCACCAGACACAGCTTTAGTTTTACAGGGAAACTCGGGATATCAGTCTTGATACCTGCAGCTCTGCCCAGTCTCCTAAGGCAACTCATGTTGCTGCAGCTTGTTCTCACATACCCCATGGAATCATGCAGGGAATGATCTGGGAACACGTTTTTGGGGGGACTGCCCACACATGCTAAGCTTGAGGCAGGTGGGAAGTGTGGCCATACAGTGTCATTGCATGGTAGCTTGGTGCATGATACCATGATACTTCACTGGTCTGACTGGTAGCTCCAGTACAGATGAAGGTTTGTTCAAATAGATCCTGGGAAATAACAAGGAAAATGTTAGCTATATCGTCCTGGGATTTCTCAGCCAAGATTTGGGAAAATGCAGAGGGGTCTGTGCTCAGAGAAGGTGCCCCTACCATACCTGTTGCAAAAGGGGATATGGTGAAAGATGACACTGGGGATTTACTTCAAAATGTTGCTGGGGAAACTTATATAACCAAAAAATGCTCCCTCTGGATTCTAAGTCACCTGCTCTAGCAGCCCTGTTTGAAGAACCCTGTAGTGAGAGATTGAATGAGTCTCTGCAGTCCCAAACTGAGCATTTACAGAGAGATTAAACAGCAGAAATCTGGAAATTTGCTCTCCCAGAGCCCTGCATCCCAGTGGCTATCCCATTTGGAATGCTCACTCAACAGTGCCCCCCACAAAGCTGGGTCAGAGAGACCCTGCACAACCCTCCATCCATTTACACCTCACTGCAAGCCAGCTGCCTTTTGCCTTAGTCTGCTTCTATTTTTGCTTCTCAGAGGGCACTGTGGAAAATGGAGAATACCACAAAAATGTAGTTCTTTTGTACCAGGACACCAGGTCTGAGCACTGCAGAGAACAGTCAGCTTGGTTCTTGCACTGGCTCAGAAGCAGAATTGCTGTTGTCCTGCTGCCTCAGAACTGCTATTCCTGTTATCACACACCCAGGCCAAGAGGGAGCAAAACATGTTTTTCTTCTTCCTCTCTGCCCCCCAAAATTAAGAAAAATTACACAGACATTATCATTCCTAGTGTAACTGTTCCTGCAGAGCAGGAGGAGGACACAAAAGCCTGAAGCAGTCCAGGAAGATTATGATTGTTTATCCTGATGCTTCTGCCAAGATTTCTTGGTTTCTCAGTCCAGAATGGTTCAGGGTGGGGCCCAGGGTCGGGCAGAGCCTGATCCAAACTAGCCCTGGGATCCCAAATGCCTTCTGCCACTGGGTTTTTCTGACTCCCTGGCACACATATTCCCAGCTAATGTCACTGTACAGTGGTGACAGTGCTGATGCCATTATCCAGCCAAGCACTGGTTTGTACTAGCAGCTCTCCAGAAGCTTTAACAGCCTTCCACATCTCAGGGCTAGTTCAGTGCCTTCTTTTTTCAAAAAATAAGGACTATCAGATGAGTTAAATAAACCTTTTGGTACCCACTTCTCCAGGCACGTGTCAGCACCACAACTGGCATTTATTCCTGAAGAAATGAGGAGATTTTTGTAGGAGCTTAAAGCTGTTTCTCTTGTGCTCAGAATCCCCACTGGGCAGGATTTTTGAAACTAGTACATGAGAGGATTTTTTTTTTTTATAACTCTTTTGAAAAATCTGCCTTCTTAATTGTGCTGCCTGAAGGGAGCTAAAGACTTCAGCTTCCCTCTCTGCCTATTTTCCCCTCCCATCTGCAATGTAAAAGCAAGTATTTCTCCTGCCATAGGTTTGGTTCCTCTCCTCTGCAAGCACCAAGTCCATCTCCTCCAATTTAGTCTCTGAAAGCAGCTTTTGTGTCTCTTGATTACAGTCATTTCTGATACACCATCCTGGGAAACTCTGTTAATAAAAGGACAGTTTAAAAGCCCTGAAGCTCTATCAACTGCCCATTTAAAAGATGATTTGTAACCTGTTAATTAGCCATTGTGCTCCACTGGTCCTGGGCTGCTGGCTCCCAGCTCTAATATACTAATGAGCCTGAAACACTGCCAAAGCATGGAGTGGCTTTTTTGGGCTGAAAATGAAGGATTGTCTCCAGCCCTACATGCAGGAGAGTCCTGAGACAGGTTTAGAGGCAGCCAGGCAGAGATGGGTCCCAGATGTGGCACTTCCAAGCCAGCAGCAGCACTGGAGGTTGTGAAGCTGCACCAGTAGAGTTATGCGCTCCGCAAGGAGACAGGATAATTTGGTCCCTTCAGCCCTGTAGGCTAACAGAGAGTGAAAGAGTCTTTCTACTTATGGCACTGGGGCTGTCTGAGAAAAGGAGATCATGAAAGCAGCTTTTTTCCCTTGCATTTCCTCTCTGGCAGCTCCTGCCCCAGCTGTGCTGCAGTCTGGGACTGACAGTGTGGGGTCATTTGTTTTGTTTTGTTTTGTTTTGTTTTGTTTTGTTTGTTCAGGGTTTTTTTTCTTTATTGAATTTCATAATGAATAGAGAAAATGTGTGGTAACAAGGACACCCATCAAATACTTTAATAGGATAAATCTGACAAGTGCACAGAGGAGGAAGCAAATTTGACAGTGGCCAGGCTACTGGAAGGGGAGTGATGGATGTGGCTCTTTCTCTTAGGCCTTTGTGGGAACCCCAAAAGAGCAGGGAACCCGTTGGGGCATGAGGTAAAAAGGCCCAAAGGATAAAACATGCTGGGATTAATGACAGAATGAAAGTTAATCCTTGAATCAAGGATCCCAGCATAGGTCCTAACACACAGCTACCCAGCCAACACCACTGACACCCCACCAGGCTTTCCAGCAGCTGATTGATTTGGGGATGAAAATGAAGTCTCTCTTTTAACAACTGATTGAAGGATAGAAAATAAAAGAGCGGCAAGAAAATGGTGGTTTCCATGGCAGAAGATTAGCAGGAGTGTGCCACTGGAACATGTGCTGCTCAACATGCTCATAAATGGTCTGGAAAAGGAGCTGAAGAGAGGGATGACAGTTTGCTGATGATACTAAATCATCCAGGGCAAAGAATGTAATTTGCCCGGAAAGAGCTGCAAAAGATCTCTTGCCATTGAATGCCTGCATCATAAAATTAAAGCTAAAATTCAATATCAGTAATACAAAATAACTCACACAGAGTTAAAAATGTCCTTTCTTGTATACACACATGCAGTAATGAGTCCTGAGCTATGATTAACAGTCAGGAATGAAATTTTGGTGTTACTGTGACTAGTTCTCTGAAAATGTTAGCTCAATTATTTAGAGAAAAAAAAAAGCAAAGAAAATGCAGACTTGTTGGGAGAAGAATAGAGAACAAGCCAGAACATTGCTATGTCACTGAGTACATCCTGGAGAGCCCGCAGCTGGAATACCATGTGCAGTTCTGGTCTGCTTGTACTGAAAGAATATGGTAAAAATAACAAAAGCACAAATGGGGACAATGAGAATGTTCAGAAATAAAGAACAGTCCGCAGCAGACAAGTCTAAATAGGGGCAATCTCTTAAGTTACATGAGATAGCTGAAGGGAGATGTGAAACAGGTCGATAAAATCATTTGTGCTTTGGGAAGTGACCAGGGAATGATCTATTCACTACTTCCCCTGATGCAAGAACAGCAAATGGAGCTTTCAGGAAACAAGGCTGAACCAGTCTGGGATTCATAAGCTTCAATGATTCTTCTATGGCTTTAGCCAGTGAAGCCTTAGGCCTGCCCTCATACACACTCTGAATCCAGATGCTTTGAGGCCAGTATAAGCAAAGCGTTGCCAAAAGCACATATATGGATGCTCAGCCTCAAATTTCATATTCCATAATGAAACCACATGAGAGATGACCTTCCAGGGCAGACCATACACTTAAAAGAGGGCACAGGATCTAAAGTCAACATCCAGGCACTCCTCCTGCTCTCTCCTAGTACAGCCCCAACCTTGATGACCTCAGAGACAAGTGTTTAAACAGTCCCAGCAGAGAGCAGAAGACAACACTTGCATGGCACATTACAGGAGTACATTTGACAGCCTCAAGGGCAGGAACAGGACAATCCCATTACATCCAGGAGTGTTGGTGATGCCTAGATTGAAGCAGTGATATCAGTCATGGGGACTTCTGGGGTTACCAGGCTCAATCAGGCAACTCATTTAAGGTTTATGGCATTCAAAATGCTGCTTGGCAGCCACAAGAAAGTAGCACAGCTGGGTTCTTGGAGCCCAGGTAAGCCCTGGGGAGGAGAAGCTGAAGATGAGCAAAGATGAGCAGTAGCAGCAAATGGTTGTCACTATTCTAGAGAGGGGCTGTAGATGTCTCCCAACATTCCTGGGTGTGTTTGGTAGCTACTCCAAGTGTTTTTCTACACAGTCTTTGCTGACCCTGTTTGCTGTCGGCATCCTTCCTTATCTGTGAAAACTCCCAAAGAGGAAAATAGCACATGCCTTTGTGTGTGTAAAGAGAAAGGTATTTGTAAAGAAGTATTTCAAATATGTTTCAAAGATTAACAAAGCTCAGCCATCTCACTCAGCAGGTGGTGGCCAGGCACAGCAGGATGTGGTTCAGAGGCAGATATTGCCCAGCTCTGTTAAGGTTTAAGTTGTGTGTGAGTCAGGAGGACACTGCTCCTGTCCCAGTCTGCCATGTGGCTTCAAAGAGAAGGTGGTAGAGAGGAGGTGAGATTTATGCCCCATATCTGGCAGTGCTTTCATCAGTCCTTCCAAAGCAGCATCACAGGTCTATGAACCCAGTGTGTTTGGGAGACTTCTAGCTTTAGCTAGGATCACAAGGGAGGGAAAAATCGTGGCTTTCTTTTTTTCAAAGGGATGAAAGGCAGGGATATGAAGATAAGCTGCACTATTAACATACAGTGTCTTCCAACATCCTGTGGCTGGGCCCTCCTCATGTCAGCAGAAGTGGATGCTGTGGATAGCTTACAGGCCAGTCACTAGCACTGTACTTACCTTTTCCTTGTTATCCATGGTGATGGCAATCTGCATCCTCCTTCCCCGTCGGAAAGCCACCAAATGGTCCATCTCCTCCTCGCTCAGGTCCGGAGCTCGGCCCGGGCCAGGGAAGCTCTCAGTGCGTTTCTCGCTGACAATCCTCTTGCCCTGGAAGGCACAGGCTGAGTTAAGGACACCTCCATTAGCCCTTCTAGGAGAGTGGCCATCCCAAACTGCAAAGGATTTTGGGCTGGCAGAACAGAAAATGAGCCAGACAGTCATTCCCCTTGGCTTATAAAGCTGCCACCCCACTCTAAGGGATCCGTGATATTACAGAATTGTGTTTAGCTGAGCACAACATCGGCATGGTGGGATTTATCTTGCTCAGATAATTTGCAGCAAGAACACTGAGGGATGGTTTTGTTTTAAGCTTGCATCTGTGTCTTTGAAACAAATTTGAGGTTGTCCCCTCCCCACACAACACATCTCAATAAAATGTGAGGCTACCTTGGAACACAAGCCTAGAAGCTGGAAGAGAAGGGGAACAGGGAGGTTCTTTCTCTCCAGCCCTTCCACATAGCATTTACTCCACTGAAGTGTATTAACACTTGATAATTCATCACTTCATAGTCATTGCGTGTTCATATTTCTGGAATTATTTATTCAGCAGTGGAATACTTAAGAAAACTGATATATAAATTCCTTGAGCAAGGGCAGTTTGCCCCTCTCAGATATTTACGGCTGTCTGCATCAGTGTCATGACTTCACTACATGGATTTACATCTGGTTCTTATTTCGTTAATGATCTTTGTTGCTGGCTGATGTCCTGCCAGTGCCCTCAGCCGTCAATTCCACAAAATGAGCACATCTTTTGCACAAAAAGACATATTTTTTCTCATTTAAAAGTATCATCTTTCAAGTCGGTCATGTGCCTTTTTATTTTTGCCTTACAAGGAAATGGGAGACTTAATAAGTCATCTCCATCGTTATCTCTGATCTTTTTCCTTTCTCTTCATCCATATGAAGTCTGCTCAACTTCACCAGGGATGAAGGAACCTCAGCAGCTTCCCTCTCTAAAGGATGGTGCATTTTACTGCGTTTTCCACCTTGGGCTTTCACATTTACTGGAGTCTTGATTTAAAAGGTACTCAAAATCTCCAAGGAAACTTCAGTGAAACTTGGGAACTCTTTGTTGCTACGAAATTGTTTTTAAAAACAAAAAGCACATTCGGACCTCTGATTTGTAGGGAAGACTTGCAATCAGGGCCTTTGACGTGACATGTGATACCAAGAACCCTCACATTAACCTAATTTTCCCTCGGCTCTGCCAGGAGTGCAGATGTTAGCATGGAGGGAACCTTGCTGTGCACAGCCTCCGTCAGCATGACCTTTTTTACAGCTTCTCAGTCATCGAGCTTCCTAGCACATGATAAATGTTTTAGGAGACACTGGAGTATTTCCAGCAGCAGAATCTCAGTCTCTTGTTTATTCATCTTTCACATCTGTGTGATTTTGCTGTTTCAGCAGAGACAGTTCTTGAGTCAGCCTGATGCAGGGGAGAAGAGTGGTCCCTGTTCTGCCTGTCCTGTCAACCCCAGATGAACAGACACGGTGGGAACCTTGTTACATATTCCCTTGGGGATTTCTAGCTCTGCAGTTGGGTTCAGTAATTCTAGTCCATACTGCTGAGGTTAGAGCCTAAACTGGAGACTGGCCTGGCTCTGCCATACCCACACCACTGGTATGAGATGTTTGGCATCCTAGTTAACATAATTTTTTACTAAGAAAGTAAGCCCAGAAATGGTTTAGAAGGTAACAGCAAGCTATTAATCCACAAGTTGTACATTACATCAAACATTTATTCATCTTAAGTCAACAGCTGTTCCCTAGAGCTCTTCAGTGTTTAGGTGTTGATGTCTCATGCTTTAGACATATAACAGGGTCACAGATACCTCCCGCCAGTGAGGTCTGGCACTGGGAGGATATCTGAAGGTGACTTCATCACTTGCTTTCTGAGAAAGTCCCTCAAGAGACCAAACACAAAGAACCTTGTGCCAAAACACCTCGAGCACAAGGGAAGCCTCGAAGAGCATCACTGGATTACACGAAAGTGACACTGGATGTTAAAAGGCACAGTGTGAAGGCTGGTGTGTTGGCAAAGCCTTTAAGCCCTGCATTTATTGAGCAGGCGGCAAGGAAGCCTCAGAGGAAATACAGGAAACAGGTATTTAACAGAGCTGTGGTAGCTAGACACATGCAGGCTGGGAGACCACCAGATTTTCTGTGTAATGCCCTTTGCCCTCCCTCCCTTTACCACTCCTTCCCTCCTTTCTTCCCTCCATCCCTCCCTCTCTCCCTCCCCATTTTGCTTCTGGCTAAGCTGCCTCGCCCGAAGGCACATTCTGCTCAATGTGTCGGCTCACATGTGTCTTCTTTCCTTTTTTCTTATTTTAATAGTCTGGATGAACTCCCAGCCTGCTTGTCCCACACTGGGAAATCCTGGTCCTTAGTGAGCCCCAGCTCCCAGAGTGAGAGATGTCATGTAAGGAGAGTACCCATGCACAGCCAACAGGGACAGAGAGCAGGGTCACAGCCACAGTGCCTGGCAGAGCCAACTCCTCCCCTCCACGGGGCTTGTTCTGGGTCATTCCCTGCCTGACAGAGATCTGGAACTCTGGCACCAGCTTTTTAGCTTAGTCAGAACAACACCACTCCCCTTACAGAGACACTGTAAGGTGAGACATGCCCATCTCATGTCTGAGGCATGCCCCAGATTGCAGAGGCAGTGTTAAAAATACTCATCCGAGATGTGCCAGGAAGAACAGGGGAACAAAGGAAACCCCTGGATTTCTGTCCAGTTTGTGCAACTTTCCAGCTGGCTTTTCTTTGGGGCACCTTGCTTGACTATGATTTAGGTTATTGAGGACTGAATGTGAGTGGTTTTCTGCACAGCCAAGGAGCTCTGTGCTGGGACCTTGCAGCAGTCACAGGAAGGATGGTGGTGCCCCATTCAGTCACACCAGTGCTACCAAACAAGTCCCTCTTTCCTGGCACAGCAACACCGTTTAACACCAGAGTGGCCCAGGAGGGCAATAAGGTGACTGATCCCTCACAAGGGGAACTGGCTACACATGGTTGGGTGGAGGGTGTTGCTGAGGGGGTTAGAAAGGCCTGAGGGCTGATTCCTGAGAATCAGAGAGAGGGAAGCATGTCTTAGCTCTGAGGTTGTGCTGAAGAACTGTGAAATGAGAGGAAACAAACAGGAAGGGAACTATTCCCTTTGGATGTGTCACACTGGACAGAAAGCTCAAGTGAGAGGCAGAACAGAAGCCCCTTTGTAAGTCAAGAGGCTGCAGTGTAAGAGCAATCCTCTTCCCTACTCACCTTTGCTTTGTTGTCCATGGTAACAGCCAGCTGCATCCTCTTCCCCATCCTGAACGTGAACATATGATCTGCTTCCTCCTCCTCCTCCTCTTCCTCACTGCCAACACCGAACCCAGGGCTTGTAGGACAGGGGCTTCCCCATTTCTCACTCACCACCCTTTTGTCCTGTAAAACGAACCACCTCCATTAGCAAATCCAGGCCCTTGATTCAGGGATGTGATTCCCTTCCCCAAACACACCTGCACACAAGCGGGGAGGCAGCTACAGAACAGACAGCCCTTGCCCCCAGGAAGTTCTCTGTGCCCAGCACACTACTGTGACATTCCTGGAGAACAAGGGGCTTGTTGTCTGCTCAGCAGCAAAACTCACAAAGACAGCAGGGCTGAAAAATCCTTTGCACTTACAAATCTGACATTTCAGACTAGAATGCCAGAGTTATGGGAAAGAAATGTCATCCTCATCTCTTTCTGCAGCACACTGAGTTAGCCTGGGAAAGCCTAAGTCCTGCTGGAGGTGGCCTTGGAAGCCAAGTGGATGGCTGAGGGTGTTGCTCACCATCGAGAGGGCTGGGCTATCTTGTCCATAGTGTTCAGTCTGGGTAATTGCATCTTTCAGGTCCTGTATGAGAGAAAAATGTGTGCAGCAGCGCACCGCGAGAGAGGCGAGGGCCGTGGCCAGGGTGGGAAGGGAGAAATGCACTGGCCCGGACCCAACAACCCACAGTGCTGAAAGCAGGGTGGGCTGGCTCAGCAAGCTCTGCATGTGCTCTGGCAGAGGAGTTCACCAATGGGTTAAGGCAGGACTGGCTTCCCAAGCCTCATGCTGCCAGGATGGGTGGACAGAGCTTATCAGATTTGGCCCAGTTAGGAAGGAAACCTGGGACTCAAAGCTTCTGGCCCAGGGCCACTTGCTTTGCTCACTCCCAAAGCCTAAGGAGACCATAAGTTTTCCCAGCCTATGGCATTCTCAGAGGCACTCCTGATGCCTCCAGTGACACACACACACATACATCCACCTAATACCCTCTGCCTACATATTTGCAGTGGTGCTGACACATGTCCAGGGCCGAGTGTGCCTGTTCACACACCCAGTCATCTGCCAGTTATCTCTTTGTGCATGGGTAGGGGTGTCTGGGCATGGCTGGAAACATATGTGCAGCACGTAAAATCACTCTGATCACACACCTCTGCAGAATTTACCCACACTTTTCAGGGCTTAGGAGCTATTTCCTGTGCCTCGAAGAACTTCGTTGTGGACGGTCTCTCTCAGAAATGCCACTTTGCAGCAGCAGGACTGGAGTGAGAACTGGCCTGTGGTCAAGGAGAGGCACCACTTACGTTGTGAGCTTTGGTGATCGTAATAGTGAGTCCATCCTGCTTGGGCCTTCTGGAGGTAACAGCCATTCCCTCCTGTTCCGCTCGCTTTTTGTCCTCTTCTATTTCCTGAAACACAGATACTGCCTTATCACAAGCCTGTAACTGGATGGTGCTCATCTTCCTGTTTAATTCTGCTAAACGGACCCACCTCCACCTCTAAGAGGGAGTGGAGATTCTGCAGCAGTGAGGCAAGTGTCAGTGTCTGGTCTCCAAAGGAATTCAAGAATTTTAGTCAAAGGCTAAGCTAAAGGCAGAGCTCTGCCCACCTGCTTTGAGTGTTTCCAATATGAACATGGGATCCATATAACACAGTCATTCTGACTGTGCTGACAATCTTCTTTAGAAACTTTACAACTCTTGAGCTGAGGCCCCCAAATCAGAGCTAGGAAGGTAAGGACCTGCAGACTCACCTGGTACCTTCGTATTAGCGCTTCATTCTTTTTCCGCAAAGCTAAGATTTTCTTATCAAGTTCAACATCTTTCTGCTCTTTCTTCCTTAACACGGCATCATCCACAGCAGCATCCTGGAAACAAAAGGAGCAAAGCCCTTCTCAGTCATCATACCAAGAGGACAAAACCTGCTCCTTCTGTCTGGACCAGGTGGGAAGTGAAAGCGTCCTTCCCTACCACTTCTTCTTGACTTTTTCATGACAGAATTTACCTTTCCTTTTCTTCTAATTTTTGTTCTGCAATGAGGTAGTTTGAGCAAAGCGCTGCTGTCCCACTTTGATGGCTGTCAGTGGGCTCCAGAGTTAACACCCTGCTTATCTGCATGCAGTACATGACCCTCACCTTCACGTGTTCTCGGGCACGGAGGAGATGTGCTGGGTGTCAGACATCAGTGAGGGAAAGGCAGCAGAACCCGCCCATGGCACAAACCGCAGCTCCTGCGCCAGCCCCATCTCCACTGGCATCCCCAGTGAGGGGTATCTGATTTAACAGCCCCTGCCAAGGGCTGCTCTGCCAGGACACAGGGATACAGGCACACATCTGCATCCAGGTGGGACAACGGGAACATTTAAACCGCCTCCACACATTCTTCTGCTGGACAATGGGATTTTGTCAAGATCTGTGGGAAAATAAATGGCTTTTCCATTGCCATCCATCATCGGGTATGTGACAGATGAGCAGATTGCCTTTGTGGGTGGATATAGTTCCATGGGCATTTTGCAAGGCTGATTAAAGCCAAATTCAGTGTTTACCTGAGCAGAAGCTGTTCTGGGAGCACTAAATTGGCAGGTTCACTGTTTACCGAGCTCTGGGGTGTTGGCTGCTGAGGGTGGGATCAAAGTAGTGCATGCCCTCAAACACACCCCTTTCATCTTCAGATTCTTTTGAAGGAGAACTGGCAGAGCTGCCGGCTTGAGAAAAATTTAAAAATTCCTGCAGAGGTTGTATTTGTGCACTTCTCTTTTCAAAGCAAAAAATGGAAAAGGCCTGCCAGGCTGTTCTCCCTCTGCCCATTTGTCAGCATTTTGTCTACGCTGGTGCCAGGGGGAGGGGGGTCCTTCCATTTCCAGCTGGAAGCTAGTGACTGGAAGGAAAGTTTGATGGTGTTCAGCCCTTCTCCTCCCCTTTATTAACGAAGCCATTAAGGTGTTTCTCTCTGCACAACCTGTTTCAGCAGGTGCTGGGAGCTGCGGGCGAGAGGTGGTCGCTCGCCCGCACACCCGGGCCCCGCGGCCGAAGCGCTGGGCAGCGTGTGGAGCCCACGCTCAGCTCCCAGGGGCTCACCCATTGTACACTTCAGCCCAGTCAGCGCTTGCTCGTCAGCTGCCGCTCCGAGCCAGCCGAGAACAGGGGGCCGTGCCCTCTCCTCCGTTTCTGGAACGAACCCGCTGCCCCAGCCCGTGCTGAAGCTGATGCTCAGGATGGAAAGTGGCTCCACCGTGCCCTCCCCAGAGTAAAGCTCTTCCGGGGAGCCAAGGTGCCCGTATGTCACCGCGACAGAGAGTTATTAATGGCTTTGGCAGAACAAACGTGCGATGGCTTTGAATCAGCAATCAGCTGAACCCAAAGCCTCCCCAAGAGCAGGGCATAGCCACGGAACGGGAGGCCTCATTCTACTGCAAATTAAAATGTCACAAAAGGAGAAAATGGAAAGCTATCGTCTCCAGGCTTCAGTTTAAATGACGACATCCCGTTGTGTCACAGCCCCTCTCCTAAGCGGCACACACTGGCTACGCAGCCCCTTGGGGGCTGGAGGGACACCTCGCTCCAGGCTGTCTCTGCGTGCACAGAGACACGCTCCTACGATCGGCTGCTTCTCCAGCGAGACCTCGGAGACGGCAGGGTCGGGAAAGTGTGAAAGGCAGGAGGTGGGGGGAGGGAAAGGGGACAGGAGCGGCCCGTACAAACGCTCTTCTGCGTAAGCAAATATATCCGCTCTTTTTAAGAAATATCCTCTTACTTGACAGCTGCAGCTGAAGCCCTCACCAGCACAGGCACCATCCAGCACTGCCTGCGTTTCTGTTTGTTATCTGCCTCCCGGGAGGCACCTTGTCCTGAGCCAGCCACCACAACCTGCCCCGGCGAGGGATGTAAACCCCGGCACCCAAAATGCGCGCCCCCCCCAGCACCGCTCCCCGCGGTGCGGTACGGCTTGTTTGCTCCCTGTGCCTGCTGGCAGCCAGGCGAGGCGAGAAAACAAAGCGACAAACACCGAAAGGCCACCCTGAAGGAAGCGAGTGCAAGTCCTTGCGTGGCCTTTTGGGGTGAGGGACCCCAGCGCCCCCGCCCCTCCCAGGCCCCGCGCAGGCAGCACTCACAGCTCGGTGCATGTTGGACATCGGCGGCGGAGCCCGGCGGATTCCAGAGCAGAGCTAAAAGAGGAGAGCCATCAGACGGCCTTTCTCAGCACTGGTTGCACAGCATACAAGATCATGTTTTGATTACAAAAGCCTCGTCTGGGCTCCCTGCCAAGAGCACTGGCTGCCTAATATACCAAGCACAGACAGGGTTTGGAGTGCCTGTGTCCTCCTCTCCAATCTCACTCTCTTTTTAAAAGAAACACTCCCCCTTTTCCCCCCTCCTGACTCCTTTTAACTTCCTGATGCCACAAACCCTCGTTCAAAGTGAGAAAAGAAGGGTGAACAGTGACGGATGGATCAGGCAAACAGCTTGGCTTTGCTGCGTGGCCATTCACGGGGTCGTGTTGTTTGTTATGCATGGCTGGCTCCCTGCCTGGCAGGGCCAGGAAATATCTGGGGTCCTGGATGTCTTGTGAGTGTGAGTGTGTGCATGAGCTTCCATAGGAAAACATGGGTCAGATTTGCCTTTTTCTGTTTAATTTCAGTATTCTCTGGAAATTATTTCCCCACTGCTCAAGTGGGCCTTTCAGGAAGGAACAGAAGAGTGCTGTGGGGTGGGCATCACCAGCTGGCAGCAGGACTAGCAGGAAGCACACAGCCAAAGCAGAGGGACTCCTGTAAGTCCCTGTCTGAAAGCTGCCAAAATAATCCCCAGAGGAGTCAAAAGTAGCAGCAGGGCTTTGAGGGAACAGCATTCAGCTGCTGCATCTTGGGTCACCACATGAACCCTTACCTCACTATAGAATATCCTGAGTTGGAAGGGATCCACAAATCATCCAGCCCAACTCCTGCCCCTGCCCAAACACCACAACAATCCCACCCGGTGCCTGAGAGCATTGTTCAAACCCTCCTTGAGCTCTGGCAGCTTTGGGGCCATGACCATTCCCTGGGGAGCCTGCTCAGTGCCTGACCACCCTCTGGAAGAAAGAACCTTTTCCTGATATCTAGCCTAACCCTCCCATGACACATCTCCAGCTGTTCCCTCGGCTTCTGTTCCTGGTCACAGAGATCAGAGATCAGAGCTGTCCCCACTGCTGCCCCTTGTGAGGAAGCTGAGGACCCCAATGAATCTCCTCCAGGCTGAACCGGCCTCAGCCACATGTCCTGGCCATGTGCTACACTCTTCCTCAGCACAGACTGGCTGCCCTCTCCCTCTGTCCCAAGGGATACAGATAGAGTGTGAGGCAAACAGGAGATGGAAGAATAACAGGGAATGTTTTGCTGCCCAAGGACTGATGCACAGCCCAACTTTAATGTGGGCCCTGCTACGTTCATATGTTAAAAAAAACAAGCTGGTCCACTGCTGCCCACTATCCACTCTAAGACCTTTGAGCAGGTCAGCTCCTCACAAAATCCAAGGAGTGTGACCTGAAACCTGGAGTGGTTTAAGGAAAACCTGGCAAAGACTTTGCAGAACTCAGAAGCTGGCCCCTACTCTGTGCGTGACCTGGGTTGTTGGACATCACCACTAAGGAGCTGGAAGCACAGCTTAGTAAAAGCTCTTGGAGGGACAGACTGACCTATATTAATTAGTAGCTACTCAATGATGAAAGGAAATTGAAACCATTTCCAAGGCAGTGCTTCTGGATTCAGGCTCAATGAAGGAAATGAAGACTCAGAGGTAGACAGAAAACTGGGAAAAAGACACAAGAGCTTTTCTAGAGCCCAAGCCATTGTCAAGAGGTTTGTGGTGGACGCAGCTGTGCAGGAGATGCAGAGTCATGTAGAGCTTTACCTTGGCCTGGGAATACAGGGGAACTGTGGGATGGCGCTGCCTTGGTTTTCCAAGCTGGCATGCTCTCTTGTGAGGGTGGAGTGATATCCCATTTTCATCTGGGCTGGTGGCCATAGGGACAAGGTCACCCAGGGTCTGGGTTGAGTCAGGGAGTGTTCATGGGAACACTTTGTTCAGCACTGGTGCATTATCCTGTTTGTGTCATGGACATATCTCTGGCTTCAAGGAGACTGCACACTATGTTGATGCTGAGGTTCAGGTTAAAGCAGAAACCATAACCCCAAACTCCAAGGCCAGGTTCTGTGTGCAGTGCAGAGTGAATACCATTGTGCTGCCCATGTCATGCTCAAATTATCAAGGTTTAAGCCAAGTGCTCCCAAGGAGTTTCTCCAAAGTTCTCCAGACCTCACAGCATCCTATGTCCCTACCATTCCTGGCAGTGTGGCTAAGCTCTTCCAGCAATGAGCAGTGCCAGGAACAGGGGTGAAGATCCTTAAAACACCTTTGCCTTTGCTGATGTCGCTGGAGAGCTGCATTTCCCTCCAGGGCAGTGTCGGCTGCTCCTGACCTCAATACAAAGAGCTGACATGTCTCAACTGTCCTTTACCATGTCTGAGTGGCACAAATGACAAGCACTTACTTCTGCATCATCATCTGAGATCAATGGGAATCCTCAGTGAACACTGCAGACACAGAAACCCAGGGGCAAAAGGGCACAGCCAAGGGAGCAGCATCTACAGCTGCAGCAGTGGGGCAAAACAGGCTGGTTTGGGGACTTGCTTGTGCCTGTATGGGACAGAGGAGAAAACAGAACCCTATAAATGTGCCAAGACTTTATGGGGTTATGAATATGCATGTACATTTAATCATTCCCAGCTCTGTGGCCAGGAAAGGCTGCAGTAACACCACAGCTGTACCCAGTAAAAAACTGTCAAAAACCCCTGATTTTCTCTAAAGTGCAGTGTCAATCCCAAAACTGGCACTGCTTTCTCATGTGGTCTGTGCCTACATGAAGCTAGGGCAAGCCTTCTAGACCATCACCCAGGCAGCAGGGATTCCAATACCCAGAGGTTTGCTTTTGGGAACAAAAGAAGACAGAGAAGGTTCCTAATCTCCTGCTTTTGTGAGTGGGGTGTGATGTATGCATGACATTTTGGGAGTCCTGCAAGACTTAAGGACACACTGAATCCTGTTCACACCAATCCCCCCACCTGGGTGGCTGCAGGACACCAATCCTGCTCTCTCTGGCTGTTGGTGACAGTGACTCCCACGTGCAGCAGCTTGACAGAGTACTTCAGACAGCGAGTGTATCCTGCATCCATGTGCAACAGGAAGGACATCTGGAGAAACCAGCCTCATTATTCACTCAGCAATCTGTACACCACACCTAGAGTTAATCTCTTTATTCTTCAAAATCCCAGACCTTTCATAGGTGGGATGGTCTAATTCTGGGCTCTCTTGTGTTCTGGATGGTGCCATCTCTAGAACTGCTCAGCACAGTGGGCACATGGAGTGTACTCAGGTTGGTTTTGTGGCTTCATGGATCTGTCAGCTCTTGTTAACATTGGGCTGCCCCTGAAGGAGCAGCATGTGGGGTGGACAGCAGCTTCCTTCAGGAAGGCCTGGAAGCTGGAGGAATCAAGAGGATATAAAGGGGGTTTTGCTGCATTTCCCTGCTGTGGCTGTGCTGCACAGGGGCTCAACTGACTGTCCTTAAGCACAGCCTCCAGCTGCCTACTTGGAGCTCTCACTCTCCGTTCTGGGCAAAGTGTGCTGGAGATTTTTCTGGGCCAAGGAAGGAAATCAGGGCAATGACCTCTCCATTTTGTGCTTGTGACATTAAAACAGTCCCTTTCTCTAACTGTGTGCTGCAAGGGCTTTCGGTTTTGGCTCAAAGAACCATCCCTGACAGGAGCCTGGCATATCTCTGCTCCAGGACAGCACTCAGCAGCTGGCACATAGTTTTGCCCCATATTGTATTGGTAAGACTCTGTCTCTCTGCCTTACACAAAGACTGAGGGAAAGAATCTGATTTTTCAAAAAATGTAAACTTGCCTGCCCCAAGAAGTATTCCTGGCATTCCTTCATCAGCCCTTCCACCACCAGGAACTGCTTTGGTTTGGAGCCCTCCCTCCTTTTCCTTTTGCCCTCTGTGAAACTCCTCCAGAGCCACTCAGTCCCATGCTGCTACTTTTCCCAAGTGCACTTCACCCAGCCTTATCCTGGCTCCCCTCCATTTTTTGCATGACCGCTATCGAGTCAACAGATGGCACTCGGGAACTGCTGGGAGGATCTGGGAGGCAGCTGCCAAAAGCCCACTGAAGGAGCTGAATCCTGGCTGCCGTGGGAGCCTGTTTTTATATGATGTGTCAGGACTGCAGATAAGGCACAGAGCCGAGTATGAAGGCACGGCTGTGTGCAGCGATGTGCTGCCCGAGGCTCCTGAGCTGAACTAGCAATCCTTCTCCAGGCCTTAGATGCAGGGAGGGAAGGGAACACTGTATCAAAGAAGAGTTCCTAGAGGCCTGGAGGCATACTTCCTGCCAAACACAGAGCAAACTTGTCCATAATAAGGGAATTCCTCTTGCCTTCCCCAGCTCTGGTCCTTCAAGCAGCTGCACTGCAGGATAAGAAAGGGGTTGAGGTGTTTCCTCTGGTGAGGAGAAAGGTCAGCATGTTCCCTTGACTGGGAGGAGGGACCGGGCAAGACCCTTAAATGGGCTTTAGCTGGAGAGACTCATGGGGATCAAAGGACTGCTGAGACATTTGTTTTTAAATGGATCAATATACAATTAAAATTAAAACTACAAAAGACAGTTAAAGGATGTAATGGCAGCTTGGTCCTGCTTAAAAGCAGTAAGGATCATAGCTGCCTGTTGGTACTTCCCAAAGGGATACCAGTCATGGCACAGCACAGAAACATCTCAGGATGTGCAGAGTAGCCCTCTTCCCATTCGGAACAAGACATCCCCTCTTTTCCCCTTCCCTGTGCATCATCCCAGCCTGCAGGGTCCTGCCTCAAGTCCTGTGCATACCCATGTTTAATGCCACCTTGAAAAACCTTTAATCTTGTCAGCTCTCCCAATATTTTCTGCTCCTGAAAACTTGTCATTCCAGTGTAAGACCTCTGAAGTGGTCATAGGCTGAGCAAATGAAAAACTAATCTGTCTACTTAGTTTTTCCCACTTGCAGACACACTCAGCAGGGACAAATACAGGTTTGCTGACCTTGTTCACTGCTCAGCCTTCAGATGTAGGACACAGGATCCAGCCTTGGAAGGGTGTGAGGCTGTGAAAAGTGGCCGGGACAGCCAGTTGGGCCGGTTTTTTCATCTTTTATGGAAATGTAGTCTTTGGGGAAAGCATGGAATGCTGCAGACAGCAACTTGTTTGCTCTGTCATCAGCAGGGGCCCAGGGAGGTTCCCCATTCCAGCCCACGGCTTCAGCCCAGATCTAGGAGGACACAGACAGCCCAGTGGCCTGGGCTCACAAGCTGCAAATGAGCAGCCAGGAGACAGCTTGCCCTTGACATGATCACATGCCATTTGTGAACTCCAAAAAGCCAAAATTATTCCACGTATGGCTGCTTTGGGGCTACACAAATGGTAGTGACCAACCTTGAGTCTGATGCAAGAAGAAGAAAGTGGCAAATTCGGTGCCTCTCCCAGCCAAACTCCATTAAAGCCTAACAAATCATCTCATTTCCCTTTGCCAGCAGAACTCAAAAGCAAGCTCCAGAGACCAACCTTGGCTCCAGGGTCTGAACTGGACTGAAGACTCTCCATGGGCTCCACTTCACAGGGATGTTGCATGGATTCTGACTGGGCTCAGCAGGAAGACTGGCTTTTCTTGTGTGGAGGGTCAAGGTGTGCAGCTGATTGGGAGGACAAACACAGGAAGGACCAGCCTGCACGAGGCTCAGAGGCACCTGGGAAGGGAGGAGATGAAAAGGGGAGTCAAGGTGGCAATTAAATATTAAAGGACTAGTTCAACAATAATTAGTACTTGGGTGAAAGGAAGGGGTGGAGGTGCATGTGATGCCTGGAAAATAGATCTTTTCAACAATGTTAGAGAGAATATAAAAGCAAACTTTTACTTGAAAGCTTTCAAATACATGATATGGCAAAAATCACACATGGTATAGCAATTCTACAATTTTTATAAGGCTAGTCAATTAGTATACTTATCATATACTGTCCAATTAAAAGGTTAGGGAATAATTCCTGGGGTGCCCACTGGAAGCAGTCCAGAGCTTTCTTTTGCCCCACTTTTTTATGTCTAGTCCAGATTCTGGTTGGAAAACAGGACATCCTTGTAGTTGGTTCTCTTCTTGGAATAAGACTACATGATATTTAGGTTTATAAAGTTATCTTATTGTTCTTAATGTAGGGAAGAAAGATAGGAAAAATACTAGAAGCTATAGACATGCTTTAGTAATCTACAAAGCTACAAATACATGAAAAATATAAAAAAGTTAAAAATCTTAGGCCTCACATGAAGCACTTACAGACTTGCTGAGCTGTGCCTGGCTGCTGAGTGCTTCATTCAAGTGGCAGAAAACTTCTGAAAGTGAAAATAATTCCTGCTCCAACAGGATGGAAATCATAACTCAAGAAGGTGGTAGTGATACCATTCCCTGGGCATCCATAATGATGATGGATGAACCCTGAGTGAGCTCCTGAGCCAGGTGATTCTCCTTTGGGAATGTGGATATTTTGTTGGCCCTTCTGATTTGATCTCTGCAGCAAGGCTGAGGTATTGCTCAGGCTTGGGGACACTGTGCAGTCTAAACACATAGGATTAGGGTGGGCTACAATACAGAGCTAAGAACTGGGTTTGCAAAAAAATGTTCCATTTCCTTTCTCCCTGGAATATTTTTGTTCCTTTCAGTACCTTCAGAAGCAACTGATTAAAAATGCTCTTCCTTTGCCCCATTGCTATTGAAACCTTTTGATGAGAAAGGTTTGGAACAAACACATAAAGATGCCTTTTTCTGGAAGCACCAGATTAAATACTTGGAGCATTTCTGAAGCTCAGTTTCTAACCAAGAAAAAAAAAAAGCTAAAAAAAAAAAAAAAGCAGAAACATTTCAACAGCATGAGAAGTGTAAGATTTCCACTCCACTCATTTAACTGCTCTTGAGCTAAAAGAACTGATTTTCATTCCCCCAAGGCTCTGATTCTCCTGAAATAAGCCATTTGGGCCAATTTCCTCTCCAAAATGTCAACTGGGCCATCTCTGGATGGCGCTGACTCACTGGCACTGGTGTCATTTGGACCTTGTTTAGGCTGTGAAAGTATTTTAACAGGCACAGTTAGTCACATATCCCAGTGTCTTCTCCGGCCTTCTCCAGGCTGAGAATTTATGTCCCAAATCCTCATAGGAAGAATATTTATGTGCAAGGGATGAATTAGTCTGGGATATCTCAGGATGCTCGGAGGGAACTGGCTCAGTGTCAGTCACGCTTGGAAGTGGTGTGAACATATGGGCAGCTTCAGAGCGAATGTGGCTGCGCTCCCAGCACGCAGCACCAGGGAAAATGGGACAGTATTGCTACAGTGAGACTTCCCCTGCCAAGACAAAGCTGAATTGGGTCTCCATGGACCTCCTGCCCCTTCAAACACACTGCAAATTCAGCACATCTCTTATTTGCTTCAGTTTGCAATGTACTGGTGCCCAGAAACATAACTGCCATATGCCTGCAACCTTCTCAGCCCTGGTATTGAGTCAACAGCTATGCAGAGGTTTCCAGCACTGCAGGAGGAGAAAGAGAGAAGTACCCTGCATGGATCTCTCCTTTCTGTGCAGCATGTGGGCCATGCTCCAGCACACACCCTGGGCAGAAATAATGACTGACAATCAAAAACTGCCTGTGAGCCTGATTCCTGAGCCCCTTTTAACCTGCCTTAAAATGGTGTGTGCTGGCAAGGATGCTTCTTATCAACACAGACAGTTGCACAAATTTTGGAAGGTAGCTCCTCCAAACCAATTGCAGTACAGAGTGGTCACAAATGGCACTGAAAAAACAGGTGCTAAATCTTATTCTTTTAGGTTGTTATACTCCTAAAAACTCAAAATTTTGTTGCATCTACGAATCAGAAAAAGGCCATCACAGACCATGGACATAGCAAGGAGGAAAAAGGTGGGCTCTGTGGAGTGCAAACATCTGCAGAGACACACATCCTCCTGTGCACAATGACATTGCTTGTGCCGTGCTGCTGGGATGGCAGCAAATCAAACTGGTTCTGTACAGTCACAGAGACCCAGCATCCATCTGGGCCCTTCTCTTCAGTAACCCAGCACCAATGGCTTTGGTGTAAAATGTAAATGTTTAGACATCTCTGACTCAGGTCCTAGCACTGAAACCATGACTAAAGCACTTTATATCTCTAAATTAACCCCTCCTGAAGGTTCAGAAGGTGGGCAGCTACATTCACCTGTAAAATAAGCTCTGCCCAGTGAAGTGACTAGGGCTCAGTTGGCTGACATAGTGGGGCCCCCACCAGAGAGCTGTTCTCTGGCTAAGGAAGCAATTTCAGTGGCTGAGACAATGGGAGGTTTATGCAGCAGGAGCAGCCAGGACTGTTGCTGTACCCATGGAAATCTTCCAGCACGGGAGGTATCTGTCACACTGTTATTGGCTTCAAGCAGCAGAAATACCCTGGCTATTTCATTGCTCCAGTGAGCAGTGACAAACCAGGGTTCATAAGCTGGCTGCAGGTCCATGAGCCACTGCACATTGCCTGGAAACCAGCAGTCTGCTGCAATCCAAGGCAGCTGCGCAATGATCCCCAACCTTGCTTTGGCCACGATGACTTCAAGGGCTTGGGTGTCCAAAAAACACATGACATGAGTGTTTTTGCACTGTGCAAAACATCACGGTGGTATCGCCACTGCAAGCTGTCAGCTTTGAGCATGGTTTCCCTGAGATGAAGGGTGGCATTGCCTGCAGAAGGAGAGGCAGGGATGCATCCCAATCCAAACAAACTGCTCCGGACCACTTGGCCTCCATCCTGCTGACTTACCCATCGTGGTTTGCCGGGCACCGTGAAAGAAGGAGCTCCTCTGGATGAAGGATGTTCTCATCTTGATGAAATCATCTTGTTGGAAATATTTATGTTCCTGAAACAGCTTGGAAACCCCATTTACTTGTCCTTCCTGCTCACCCTTAGGTTGTTTCTGTAAGGAGAGGAAATCCTGGAATCAGCATATGCCTCCCCTAGAATGACACTGAGTCTCAAACTGGCCACCAAGCACAGGGATGTCACAGAGTGGCAATATTGCCAAATGACACAATGCATTAAGGAGAGCATCAGCTTCCTTGGGAGAGGCAGCTCCTTCTCTGCTGCACTGCAGGGGCGAGAGCCAAGCAGGTTTTGAAGTAAGGGACTCCTGGATTCCCGGATTTGGCCACCACAGCCGGTCCCTCCCAGCCCTGGCCATGCGGCAGCAGCCCCAGGGGGGATGCGGGCAGCACCGCTGCCTGCCTCAGGCAGCGCTTTGCAGCCAGCTGGGAGCACAAGCCCTGCTGTAGCCCCTGGCTAAGGGCAATGAAAAATAATTAATCCATGTGTTGAATACCTTGCAGCAGTACAGAGGAAACTTGCCAAGCTGTGGGAGTGAGGAAGCGTGATCACCCCCACTTACCAGACAAGGAGTTCACACCTCGGGCTGAGCCAAACTAAAGCTGTAAGATGTGCCTGTCTGTCAGAAGCGGTAGGATGTTTGTAATCCAGCTGATTCCCACCATCCTTGCAGCTCACATGGCTCTATTATTATCATTGCTGTTGCAAGAATTATTATTTAGTATCGGGGAGAATGAAAAGGAAATATCACCCATGTTCTTGTCACCACATTAATACCAGCCAATCTTTTCAGCAGATACCAGGTTTCAGTCTTTCCTGCTGGGCCACACAATACGAGCTGCTCTGGAGCTGCTCCTCGCAGTGGATCTGATCCTACCAGGCAAGTGACATTTCTGTGGCTAAGGCTTACAACAGCAGGCTGGTTCCCTGCAGCACAGCCAGCTGGGAGCACCACGCTGGGCCAGCAGCACTGCCCGCATCCTGTCCTCGAAACTCCCTCCTGCTGGGTTTGGAGAGGTGTCGGCCTTTGGTGGGAGAGAGTCATCCACCCTGGCATTAGGAAAAGCTTTTTGTTCTTTAAACTGCCTCGGGCATTTAAGTCATTAAGGCAGGAACGGCTTACTCTAAGCAGCTAGAGGATTAGTGGGAGTTATAGGATACTCTCCGCTCTAATACTTTCCCTTTTTGCTTCAGCTGTTCCGAATGTGTGAAGCAAAAAGGATGCCACCCTCATGAGGAAGGTCACTGCCACTGTGAGGTCCACAGACATGGCCACGAGGAAGAAGGTCACAGCTGTCCCCACAGTTATGCAAAAGATGATGACAAGGCAGAGAGGGTCACTGCCACTCCCGTGCCATACACACAGCCACGAGAAAGCCCCAAGCCTTTTCTACACGAGTTATTAGCATGGTCATTGGCATGAGAGCAGCTACAGAAGGAGCAGCCACCTTCCACCGGCTCTGTGGGAAGCTATCCCCATGCACAAGGAGACACATGTGGCTACCACCCAGCTCAGAGCAATGTCATGGTATGTATAGACAAGGACTGAAGGATCCTGCAAGGAGGTGGACATGCCTGACCTCCTTGTGTTCTCCATGCTTTCGGCTTAGTTGTTACAAACCTACCATCTATTTCAAAAAATCATTTACTTATGTAATGCTTCTAAAAGCCAACAATTCAAAACGCTGCCCTGCAATTGTCACACAGGGCCAGGAGCACGTCTGGGAGCATTCCCAGCCCGGGCCAAGCAGGAGCACAATCGCAGGGATGAGGCACTTGTCACCCAAAAGATGCCCGGTGCCCCGAGCTCCTGTTCCACACCCACACGCTCAGCCCCACCCCCGACAGCCAGGCTGGCCCCGGGGCTCACGGTTCCCCCCGCAGCTCTCCTGGTGCCGGCGGCTGCGCCCCCTTGCCC